GATAGAGATGGCACTCCCTCTTGGTAAGGCTTGATAAGACCCATGGCATCACTCACTCAACCTGAACTGCCTAAGGTTCCTATATGGAGATAGTCCCATGAGGCTGATACAGATCCAAACTAGGAGTTTGGAGAAGACACACTTCAGTCAGTGTCAGTACTCAAAAACAAACCAAGCAAAGGTTTTTGCCCTCCAAGCTACCAAAAGTTTAGGGTTTTTTTTTCTATCATTTCTCCCAGTAGTTTTCTTTTTCTGCTTATTTTTTCTTATTCTTGTGTGTGTGTGTGTGTGTGTGTGTGTGTGTGTGTGTGTGTGTGTTATTTGGTGTGTGTGCGCTAGTCTGAGTGAGGCAGATATAAACAAAGGCCAGAGGTAGACTTTGACTGTCTTCCTTCATCACGCTCACCTTAGGTTTTAAGGCAAGGTCTCTCTCTGAACTGGGAACTTCCAATTAATTAGACCAGACTAGCTGGCCACCAAGCCCCAGGGATCCCCTTATCTCTGCATGCCCAGAAACAGGATTAAAGGTCCACCACTAATTTAGACATGGGTATTAGGGATCAAAGCTCAAAGCTTGCATGGCTTTATTGGCTATATCATCTCCCCCAGCCTTTCCTTGCATTTACCTGTCTCAATGTCCCTTTGCACTGAGGCTGTCCTGAAACTGCTTCTTAGCCTGCCTGTCCTAAGAAGCTGAAATTGCTCTTCATTTGGTACCTCAAGTCTCCACTCCTCTCCAGTCTCCTCCCCTTGGATCTCCATAGCAACTCCCAGAAGTTACGTTTCATCTGTACTTTGAAGAGCTCAGAGGGAAATCTCTACCCAAGATCTCCATCCTGGAGAAAGGACCCCTTCCCAGATTGAACATTTTTGTCTACAGGTTCACTCAATCCATACATATTTATTGAGCACCTGTTGTATACTTACCATTTAATGTTCAAAGTCTTCATAACTAATTTATCTTTTCCTCAGACCTGATCTTCCCCTCTGTTTCCTATCTTGGTAGATAGCATTTCATACACACCACTGCACAGGCCCAAAGAAATCAGCCCTCTATCCCCCGGGTCCCTTCCTCCATCTTGTAGTGCATCTATCACAAACTTTTATTTCTAGTTCCTCAATCTCTTTTGAGTCTGCCCTCTATGCTCACACTCACCATGATTTCCAGGCCACTGTCTTCTCTTCTAGGTCATTGCCTCCACCCTTCTGCTTTCTTTCCCTATCCCCTGCACTGGAGAAAGATCAGTCTATCTCACAAGCAAAGGAACTTGAGTTGTCATCCTTGATTCTCAAAAGTCACCCTCCATCTCCCCTCTTCCATGGGCCTTTCATTCCTTCAGGCAGATAACTTCCACAGTGTGCAAATACTTACTCCAGATGTGAATGTTCCCATATGCAGGATGCTCTAAATGGAATCTTTCCATCTCCCTTTACCATCTGTCTCGCAAGCAGTCTTCCTTGAGAAATCACCGCCACCAGGAAACCTGCCTTGATTTCCTCTTGGGTGCTTTTACAAATGCTCATATTTCCCTGGTCTTTGTCTGTCTCTGCTGCTTTCAGAGAATATCACAGACCATGTCATGAATAAACAGTAATAATTAATTTGGTTGTGATTCTGGGGGCTGGAACTCCATGATGGAAAGGCTGCATCTGGGTAAGACTCTGATGAAAAGGCTTGTGTGTGAGGCAGAGAAAAATCAAGCTAAAATGCTGCCCTTTTTCTGGAACTGGCTTCCACAAGAATGGCCTTGGTCATCACTTGAAGTTCTGCACCTTCTAAGATAGTTTCAGTGGCTGCTAAATTCCAACATTGGTTCTGGAGACAGCACACAAACCATAGTACCCACCACCACTCCCGCCCTAGCCCTGGTGACTCTGTTGGATTTCCTATTTACTTCTCTCTGCCTTACCATGGCCCATGAATGCAGAACAGGCTCTGGCGGGGTTTTCAAAGTCTCAGTGCATAGTTGTATGATGTATGGTGGACCCCTCAACAAATCCCACTTGAAGAACAAATTTAGAAAGCTGGCTCAAACCTATTAGCCTTGCAAACTGGCATCCTTAGTGGCTTAATTCAGAAGGAGTGATCACTGCTGCTGAAGTTTAGATCCAGAGCTTGGAGGACATTTTGGAAGCAGACTCACACTTTCTAGAACAATCTATGCTTCCTAGCCTAGAAAGGATCATTACAGCTGATGGCACCTCTGCTCACCATGTCCAGACTCTTGAACGTGCTTATGAAGGACTGAAGCCAAGAAAGGCATGGGCAAGGCACTGGGCATCATTAGCATCATCTGAAGCACTGAGCACAGGGTATTATGTCTTTCTTTCTAGCCCATCCCCAGACTCAGTGGATACCACACCCTCCTTTCAGATTGGCCCATGGTCAACACAAATTCAATCAAGGCATTATTTTGGTGGCTCCACATGATATTCTTGGAGCCTTAAAGATCCCCATCTCTTTGGAAAACAGAAGACTGCCTTCCCACATTCCCAAATCACTGGTGAAGAGAACACCATGTTTTCCGCAAACAGGGGGAGCAACTTGTGTTCAGGGTCATGACTTCCCTTAATAGAACATGAAGAAACAAGTAATCTGCCTTCCACCCATTGCCCCTCAGAAGACAGCTCATTTAGGGCTCGTGTTTTATCTCCATATAATTTGAGTTGAACTTTCTTGCTACCAAGCACATTTCTATCCTTCCTGAAGCTGCTAAATTGTACAAACTTGAAAATGTAACACCTTCAACCGCAAAAACAAAAACAGAACTAATTACTTGACGTGACGTGATATTTTTCTATTTCCAAGGGAATCAAATTTGAGAGACGCTCAGACTCCTGTCTGGGCTGCTACAGCAGTGAGGAGAGAAGCTGCCTTAGGATCTCGGAGTGCTCTCCTTCCTGAAAGTCATTAGCCCCTTAAAGGAATTGGAAAGCTGCTTGCAAAGAACACAAACACACAGAGATTCGGGAGAACTCGGTGGCGGACTCCCAGTAGACCTCAGCACAAAGACAACCCTTTATTGACACTTGCCAGTAACTTTTGGGCCACAAATCCAGAGGACAAACAATATATCTCCACAAACGTTTTCACAAATGTTAGTAAATGGCTGCATCATACAAATTGTACAGTTCCCCCCACACACACATCTCCCACCCCATTTTCTACATTCTGTTATTTTCAGTTCCCTGTTCCTACCACAGGCCATCTTCTTTTGTCATGTGGTCAAGCCTGTCTGTTCCCTATGGTCTTTCCTGGCAGGGCACGTTCACCCTATTCATCACGGTGGGATGTCCCATCAGCCCCAGGTTCTGACCCGATCATGAAGCAGAAGAAGGTGCCTGATGGGCTGGGGTACTCTGTGACAGTGGGTCCTCGATGCCTCTCCTTGGGTTCCCCCTTTCACAGGTCCAGCCCATGATACCTTTACGCACGGCTCCTACAGTCCTTCCTTCCAGTATAGATGCCAAGCCAAATGACTTTCCAGCCCTTCAGCCCCATCCCATCATGACTCTAGCTTGCTCAGGCCCTCTGTTCAGCCAGCAGCATAGGGGCACTTTTCTAACTGAACCAATTTCCAATATACCTTTCATGCAGGAATTTGACTCTTGATTTCTTTCTTTCCTATTTTCTTTCTTTTTCTTTTTCTTTCTTTCTTTTCTTTTCTTTTTTTTGGTTTTTGGTTTTTGGTTTTTGGTTTTCGTTTGTTTTTGTTTTTCGAAATAGGGTTTTTCTGTGTAGTACTGGTTGTCCTGGAACCCGCTCTGTAGACCAAGATGTCATGAAACTTTGCCTCTGCCTTCCAAGTGCTGGAATTAAAGGTGTGCACCACCGCTACCTGGCAGGAACGTTACTCTTATAGAGAGAACTCTTATTAAATGAAGCTGCTCTAACGTATAAAACCGCAGAAGCGCAAAAAAAGATAGCACAGGTCTTTTTTTTTTTTTTTGGTTTTTTTTTTTTTTTTTGAGACAGGGTTTCTCTGTGTAGCTTTGCGCCTTTCCTGGAGCTCACTTGGTAGCCCAGGCTGGCCTCGAACTCACAGAGATCCGCCTGCCTCTGCCTCCCAAGTGCTGGGATTAAAGGCGTGCGCCACCACGCCCGGCCTAGCACAGGTCTTGAAGGAAGCAATTCCTCAACTTTTCTCTCTCAAGACATAAAATATCATGAGACGAAGCCGTGTTAACCCCTTCCTCCCAGTAAGGTTTTAGGTATCCAGAAAGACTATGAGAGCCAGAATCAGGGGAGGAGCTGAGAAGTGCTGTCTTCTGGACACAACATGGCCGTTGCTCTCATGAACTCACCACAACTGTGCTCACCATCACAAGACAAAGCCAACAAGCTCAATCAACATTCCAGCAGGCAACACTAACTGGACTCAGTGGGTACCCATTGTAAGAGCCCCCCACCCAAGAAACAACTTAGTTGATACACAAGGCAAGGAACTTTGAAATGGTATTTATAAATATGATTAAGGGGCTTAAGGAGGATAAGAATAAATGCTTGAATGAAGACACCCAAAACACAAACAGTTGAATGAGAATAACAAAAACAATTCAAGATATGAAAAGAGATAGAACCTCTGAAGAAAAGCCAAACTGAAATATAACGAAGTGAGAAATTGAATATCAAACAAACAAACAAAAAAAGCTTGTGGAAAGTCTCACTGACAAATTGGATCAAGGGAAAAAAAGAATAGTATAGCTCAAAGAGAAAATAGAAGAAATAGATTACACACACACACACACACACACACACACACACACACACACACACACAAATTCCAACAACTTTTAAGAAGGTGGCATGTTGAAGTGTGTCCAAAGGAAGAAGAAGGTAGTAGCTGAGGTGGATATGAACAAAATATATTGCACTGTAATAGATAAAAAGTATTCTAAGAGGAGGAGGAGGATGAGGAGGAGGCAGCAGCCATGTTACACCGTTCCAGGGTTGTCCAAGGCTCTTTGTGTTTCAGTAAGGGCATGTTGCATATGCTTACCTCCGCAAGGGTGCTCCTTATTTGTGTGTCCGTGATTAATAGCATATTAGGAACAAGCAGCCATGCTAGACGATAACTGCCTGTAAGATTAGAGAAGTTAAAGGTTCAACCAAAGGGAAATGGAAGGTGAGCATATTCCCAGCACTGGAAATGTACTCATTGACTGCAGGCTATGTAGACAGAAACATTAGTGGCAATGGAGTCTTCTTTAAATAGTAGCATAAAATACTCCAAAGTATGAATCTAATGGTCACATTTTCACTCTTTTCTCTTTCATACAAAATGATATCTTTGTCTCCTGATATGATAATTCAGCCTTTTCAGAATGGATAAAAGACTGACTAAATTAAATACAGTTCTTGCTCAGTGAGCCTGGACATGCTGCTTCTTGTATATAAATGTGAGTTCATTCCAATGAGTGTTTCCCAACCAGCTGCAATTCACCTTCACTCAGTGCTAGACTTGCCCCTCTGCCTATCACCACCACCGTCCATTGGGGTTATCAGACACTTTCTGGGTGATCAACAATACTTGAAGTTCTGTTATCTCTTTTTCATTTTGCTGAAGAGGAGTTTGCTCCAAAACCTCCTCAGTCTTCAACCCAGATGCCTTACAGATCTCACTGGCAAGTTTTGCTTTCACTCTGGAGGTAGGGGGAAGGAAGTTAGCCAAGGCACCCAAATTGCAGAAACTTCTTTGTGAGCAAGGTAATGGTAAGAGTGGTTTCTTTTTCCCTACTAACTAACTACTGCAGTGTGAATAAGACAATCTCATTTGGAGATCTTTTTTTTTTTTTTCTTTCAACTATGTTTGACCACAAAACATGTTTTGTAGAGTTGATTTTTCTAGAACTAGAACATGTGGCTGGACAGGTCATAGGCCCTAGAGGAGAACCTAATATTATTGTTCTGTTAAATGGACATAATATTAAAATGACTTCTGATGACTTATTGCTATACCCAAAGATGGTGCATCTGTCAACTATGATCAGAGAAGCTTCTTGCAGTAGATTACAATTAACACAGAGACCTTCAACTGGTCAGTGTTCAGAGAATAAGAGATTGTGGAATCCTCAGCCCTAAATGGGACTTATATATCAGAACACTCCCTCCAAGAGCCAAGGATCTTAGCAGAAAAGGGGGGCAGGATTATAAGAGCCAGAACAAATGGATAGCATCAAGGAAACAGTGTTTTGCAGACACAACAGGACACCTGTACAAACAAACTCATAGAAATTATGATAGTATGCACAAGCCCCTGGCAAGCTCTAGCCAAACTCGCAGAATGTAGTTGAGGGAGGAGGTGGGAACAAAATCCCACCACTAACTGAGGAGCTATTGGCATTTTATAGCTGCTGGGAGAAGAGTCGGCTTTCTTTAATTAGGTAACCCTTGGCAGGTCAGCCTCACTCTCAAGAGGAGTTGACAACACAAATGGGCATGATGGGGAGGCAAAGCAGAAGAAAACTCAAAGTTGAGTGGGCGAGGTGTGGGTAGAGAGAGTAGATACGGGAATCGTTGAAAGATGAACATGATCAAAATACATTGTATTAAGTTCCCTAAGAATTAAGATATCTTTTAACTTTTAGATGATGCAATAAAAAGCTATTGTTAAAAACTTGCTTGCAACACTTCCAGAAGGACCGTTTGTTTAACATGATGTCCTTCTGATTCAGTACAAACCAGAACTATTTCTCTGGGGATAAGAGATCTCCATGAGGAATGGCGTCTGAAGTCCGCTATATAAACTTGGAAAGCAGAAACTCACTTACTACTCCTATGTGGCTACAGAAATGAAGGGCTGAAGTGTCAGCTCTTACTATAAAACAATGTTTACAGATCCACTGAAAACCACCTTCCATTGCTCCCGCAAGGAATATTTTATAACGTGAGTAAACACCCATCACAAGATTTTAAGCCTGTGTAACTAAGTGATAGATGGCAGTCAAAAATCACCGCTGACATGTTGAGAAAAGGATTGTGGCTGACGAAAAGAAAAACAAGAAGCATTTGGAAGTACCCTGTGAGTATTAGCTAAGGCTCTTGGAACATGAATGACAAAAGTCTCTAATATCACTTAGAATCCCTTTATGCACAGTATTATCAGTGAGGGAAAACCATACTTCATTCATGTTTTTCTTAAAGATACCCTTTAGTCTCCCACTCATATAATCAATGAACAACTAGGTCTGAAGTATATAGAAACCCACTAGAGCCAATAAGAGAAAAACAATGATCTCGACCTACATCTAGTAGAAAGAAGAAACTATATATTTATAAATATGTATACATATGTATATACATATAAATTTCCATTCTTTCAAAAGAGCCAAATAATTGTTTTCATATTAAGACAAAACATACCTGTTTTGTGTTTAGGAATTTTTTTTATCCATATCAAGACATAAAGGGGGGTTTATAGGACAACTATTTTTCATAGCTGGATACACTCTTTCCCAAACTGCTATGATTCAATGAAGAGGAAATTATTAACGATAGCATCATACTACCCTAACGTTTTTAAATATTTTTCCATATAGCAAGTACATGGTTCTAAATCCAACCAAGTAAATTTCAATTTTCTACAGAGATGAAGTTAGGCAACCTGCTATGCATAGGCCTTTTCTCTTCGATTTATATAAGTTTCATGTTGAAATCCTCACTAGAGTTGGAGGTGCTTTGTAGCCCATACCATATTAACTGGCATGCATTTAGTGGTCAGCAATTACGGTAGAAGCAAATGAATGAGTGAATACGGTAATTAAATCTGCTGTTTGGCTTCATATAGAGTGTTTTTCAATTTCGTAGCTGTTGCTTGGGGTCACAAAGCATTTTTCAGATGTTTGTCGCTGTCTGAAATATAGAACACTATGGATTCGCTAGAACTACAGGGCAAAATGACAAGTACCAAGCAACAGATGTCAGAGTCATATGACTCCAGCCCTGCCCTACACTCAGGATCAGCATGGGCTTTCTGGTCATTGCCCTGAGTCCCCTCTGAGATTTCTAAGATCAGCCCATAGGGTTGATATTGTGTAACATGAATCTTGAAAGGTCTTTCTAATTAAAAAACAAAAAACAAAAAACTGGAGCCAAATATTTGGGTGAAAGCTGAAAGATCAGAGAAACAGAACAAGCCAGCCACATTCTTACCTCTACGAAATCCTCAGCCTCATGAGAGGGAGTTCCTGTCTCCTCAAGCCTTATTTATCTTTCTGTGCCCTGCCATCTTCCTTCCTTCCTAGTGCTGAGATTAAAGGTGTGTGCCACCATGCCTGGCTCTGGTCCCAGTATGGCCTTGAACTCACAGAGATCCACATGGATCTCTGCCTCTCAAGTGATAGGATAAAAGGTGTGTGCCACCACTGCCTGGCTCTTTCTAATCTAGTAGCTGGCTCTGTCCTCTGATCCCCAGATAAGTTTATTAGGGTACATAATATATCACCACAATATTGCATCTCAGTGACTTAAAGAATTCCATACAATGTGGCCCAACACACAGACTCACCACATAGCTGATAAAATGAAGACATGGATCCAACCTAGGGTCCCCCCTAAAACTTCACACTCAGGAGCAGGAAGACAGGCTTTCAGGTTCTCTGTCTCCATACCTGACCAGGTTTAACTCTGCTCAGCCACCAACTTCTCGAGGTTCTTCACTGTATTTACAAACTTAGATACAAAGAGTATTTGATGCTCTTGGGGAAATGTGATATCCAACTTTCTATCCAATCTTTTCTTGTGTCCAGAAAGTTTTAGAACTTTGATTTCATCAAATGCAATCACAAAATGCCTTAAAGGTGGAAACTAAGGCCAGGAACCCATTCAAATCTGAGCAATGCAGAGTGTTTGGGTATTAGGAAGACTATTATTTTAGTCTTTCAATTAACTGAGTTAGGTGATTTGATTGTCAATAGATTGCAAAGGCTGAAGCATGTGTATTAGATCAAATGCACATTTATATGCAAAGTGTAATAATGAGGCTGTTTATTCCTACTACCATGCTTAAATCCCTAAACATTAGGTGGCATATTCAAAATGAAGTTTAAGGGCACTATAGGGTTATTTTTTTAATATAGTGGTAAGGTGGGGGAATGCTATTGTCTCTTGTACATCAAAGCCACTATGAAAACATCGGGAATTGGGAAACTGGAGGATTTTTTGAAGCACTTGCTTGTAACAAATCCCTTCCACTTTAGATGAAAGAAGTAGACCAAACCTGCCTCACCAACGCCCAGGGAAAAGAGTTTGATTCGACAGCCAATGAAGAATTCACAGATGGACATCAGGTATCTGACTCATTCACAAAGCTTAAGGACAAAGGAATTCTGGCCCCTATTCTGAAGGCAAGTGAGGAGAGATCATACCAGGACTGGACAGTTCTCAGAGTTTATGCAGCCCATGGATAGAGCTGTGACAGATCACATGCAAAGGAGAATAAGTATGCATTTAAGAGGGGAATACCGCCGGGCGGTGGTGGCGCACGCCTTTAATCCCAGCACTCGGGAGGCAGAGCCAGGCGGATCTCTGTGAGTTCGAGGCCAGCATGGGCTACC